TTCAGGCGACTAGCTTAATAGGCGCATTCCCTCACATATGTCTAACTAACCACCTATGGTCGAAAAGTGATAGTGGAAGTGTTTACGTCATTAGCCCAATATCCAGGCGAGTAGCTCAATAGACGCATTCCCCACATAAGTCAAACTAATCATCTATGCCAATGATGGCATTAGTTTTGTAAGCATTCAATGCTGAAATAATCTATAATTGGAAGGGGTTGGTGAAATGGTGCAATTTTAAAAAATAAATAAATAATTACACATGTTCTTACTAGACATGTAAATGGAATATGTACAATAATTGCAATATGCCCACCAGCAGTATCAAAACATAAAGCTTTGTTGATGATGTCATGTATGGTGCAGAGCATGAGTTTTACCTCTTCATTGCTCTGTCCTTTTGTGACTCTACAATCTTTTACTATGCTTCTTGTGAGGCCCCTGAAAATTTTAATTTCATAAAAGTCCCTTATTTTTAAATTATTTCCTTGAAGTTCCTCAGTTTCTTAATTGCAACCCTAGGATCAAAATACATGCGCCAACAAAAAAATGCAGACCCTAATCAATTTCAGAAACTTAGAAATAATTTCTAATACTCTAATTGACTCCCTAAATATGAAATTACCACTTGGAAACCCTAGGTTTTTCCGATCTTTATCACGTTTGTCGGTTGATCGCTTTTTTGTTCGAAACAAGAAATTCAAACCAAATTAGATTCTCTAACCCTAACTTAGTTAAATCCTACTCTAAAATAAATGTTCCAAAATTAAGGCCTTAGACCTCATATTTCACTTAAATCACAAATTGACCCCAAGTTAGCACCATTGTATATATATATTTATACCTCTTATTCATCAAATCTTTTTGTACACAATATCTATGGAATTTATACACAAAATAAATAGAAAAATCTCCCCAAATCTTGAGCACATGGCTAGCCATCATACCTCCTAGGCTATAATCATTGTACTTTAGTACAAACAAATCCCTTGAAATCGTGGAACAATAATGACCTTGGTACCAATTCTATATGTATACATTGGGAATATGTCCATAGTACACATATATTGAATAAAATATTCTCCATTTCCCTTCCCCATAGCCGACCAACCTAGGAGAGTGTGAGGGACCAATTTTCAAGACTTGTAATTATGACATTCTAGAAGCAAAGTACCAAGTACAAGGGTTATGTTCCCAACCTAGTTCCATTCCAACTGGAGGCCAACTAAATCTTGTCTAATCACATAATTAAGTCCCCTAATCACTCCCTATTCCATTAGACTCCAAGTAAATCCAAACTTTTCAAACCAATTCCAACTAATGGGCCTTTGTGTCTTTTTACACCAAATTTGTCTATATATACAACCACCCACTTAGCATAGCATACACAAACAACACACACACACACACCTACATTCAGCCTAGAGGAGAGAAAGGAGAGCAAGAGAAAAGTCTTGAGAGGGAGAGGAAGGAAGAGGAGAGCAATCTTGTTCAACTTGGCCTAGCCTAGCAAGTAAACCACAACAGCCTAGAGGAGAGAAAAGAGAGCAAGAGAAAAGTCTTGAGAGGGAGAGAAAGGAAGAGGAGAGCAATCTTGTTCAACTTGGCCTAGCCTAACAAGTAAGCCACAACACAACTCTCTCTTTTATTTTCCTTTTTCAAATACATGCTCTTAGAAGTTTTAAACATTCATTACAAATGTGTTTTGATAGTATTCCCATGTTAAAAATGAAACAAGTTGAACCTTGATTCTACCCTTCCTGTATTTCTCTTAATTGGTATAAGACTACCTTTTTCCATATCAAACTCTAAAAATTTCCAAAGGCACACCTTCACCTTAAATTTCTGAGTTTAATACATATTATTTATCATGTTTTCATCACAAGAGAAGTGAAAATTTTCCCCTAGCCGACCTCTTTTTTCATCAACTTTCTATTTTCAAGAACTATGCCAGAAAAATCTATTTTACAGCCAACTTTCAAAAATTCTATAAAAATACATAAAAATCTTCTGGACCTCCATTTTATGTAAAAATCTTCCTTAAGGAGTTATCTTTCAACTAAAATTGGTTTCATTGAAAACGAGTGAGCGGTTTGTGAGAAAATCTGATTTTCGTAATAATCGACGAATCTGGACAGTGCTGGAGCATTTCTTAAATAATTAAAAATCTAGAAAAGCTATCACATTTCCGAAACATGTTCTAAAAACTAGATTGAAGTCTCTACGAACCATACGAAGGCTAGGTTCGGGAAATATCTGAAATAGCCCTTTTGATTTTAATATTTAAATGGTATTGAATCTGGAAATTTAGTTTTGCATGGGTGTTTTATGCTCTTGTGTTCATGAATATACTTATTATTTTATGATCATGCCTTGGTATGATATTGCATGTGTTATCGTTATGTTCCTTATCTTCTTCATTTTAATGATGTTCATACTTATATGGATATTACTATCTTGTTGAGTTTGTTCTAACTTGATTTAAAACATTTAACTTAACGAGAAACTTAATTGAGATGGTATTGGATTTTCGATCACTTGAATAATGAAGAGATGATATGTGTTATGTATAGATTGATAGGATGTGCTCCCTAATTGAAGTTTAAGTCTTGTGCAAGAGGTTGTCGCGTAAACCCTAGAATGGAACGGACGTATTCAGACTCTTTGCGATGGTTTGATTGGTGAGATAAGGTTGGGTCCGGATGGGACATTCAGGATGATAAAACTTTTTTGGAAGGATAAGGTTAGATTCAGGAGATAAAACCTTTTTTTTTTTTTGCTATCCCTTTTGAGACCCTGTGGTTGGTGCTACGCGGTATATAACCGTTGGTAGGCATTCGAGGTTAGTTCTGCAACAAAGCAGCAAAAGAGGGAGTTCTGAATAGTCCGGTGTCCAATTCTTGTGGTTGGGAGGATGGAATCTCTTTAGGGGATTTTTAGAATACTAACCACTAACATTATAGCCTTTGTTATCTATTAAATGACATGTTCCTTTCCTCTATTATTGAAATTGCTGTTATTGACTTGAATATCATGTTTCACTACTTGCTTGCTATAAATATGATGGTGTATTGGATTGGGAAAAAGGGACGGGGTGTGTGCACGTTTATTGGGCATTCAAAACTCACGGCGTTTCATGCCAGGTATTGAAGACTATTAGGCTGGTCGAAGGCAAAGCTGAAGTATTTGAGGACGTATGGCTATCCTATGAGATTTAGGAACTAGTTATGTTAAACGTGTTTTGAGATTGTAAGTGATAGATCCCATATTATATTTAAAACATGATTTTGTAATTTGTATATATATAACATTTGTAACCTATCCTTACGCTCCGTCAACTCATGTAGGCCATCTGTTAATACCTTGTCAAGATCTGTCAAAAATGTAGTTTTGCTATCTACGGTGGTTAGACTTAGAAGGGAGGCTATTTTGACTCCTCCAACCTTTCTGGGATATTGCTTGGTTATTAATCAAAGAACTCATTAGTAACGTTTCCTACTCTTGTAACTTTAGAAAAAAAAAAATTATATTTAATAGATATTATATTATCTGATATTTCTGATTTTTGGAACGTCACACTCCTAGCTTGATGGTTGTGTGTTGACCTGTGCAGTGGAACGAATTGGAAAACAAGACTGAAAATCCAAATGGCTGCTCTTTCCTCGATCGGCGGCACATCTCGTGCATATTTATACTTGTAGAATACTCTTTCACAATAAATCCTAACAAAAAACAAAAACAAAAAAAATAAAATAAAATAAGAAGAGTTGACCATTCCAACTTTGGCAAGAGTGGCAAAAGAATAATTTGCTCCTCTTGCTGTGCATGTAATTTCGCGGGCGGGGGGAATCAAAATATCTCTCAAATTAAGGTTGTCAAATTGAAGAATTGATTTTTATCAAAATTGACACAAAACTACTGTGAAAAATTCTCAATTATATGCTGGAGAGGAGGTCAAGCTTATCAACTTCCTTGAATGGCCCATTGCTGAAAATGGTATTTATGGTTCTTGATGCTCACACAAGCACGAATTGTTTCACATGCATTGCTCCAGTCCCCAGCTTTAAAAAAAAATAAAAAATAAACCATGGCCTACAACAAGCCACCATGTCCACAAAATACTTCAAGACTTTTCCTTGATGGTAAACAAGCATATTGCCTAAGTCTTCAAGTGAGCCAATTTGTAGACATCAAAATTTTTAAAAAATTTAATCACCGTTTAATTAATCAAGATAAATAAAATTTTCTTAATTAGTCAAAATCAAAATAGTCAAAATTTTCAAATGGATGTGGGTCTATCAAAATTATGGATCTCAACCCATTTTAAATTATAAGTCACACCAAAAGAAAAGTGAACCCATCTTGACAATTGGATTAACCCAAAGGTGTGGAGCCTATGAAGATATTTTGTTAAAATTTAGTCAAATTCAAATTCAAATTTCAATGCAAATTATTTCTATAAAATGAGAGACAAATTTCTCTTTTATTGGAAATTAAAATCAAATTTGGAGTTGCCAAAATTAATTTGTCTCTCTTGAAGCATATAATTAGAGACTCTCACTATTGAGAAAGAGAGAAGGGACATTTTGCTAAGATCTCGTAAATTTCTAAGTAATTTTAAGACTTTGTCAAATTCTTTTTTTAAAATTCTCTCTAAACCTTCAAACTTGAAGTGAAGAATTATTAAGCACTCTAAACTTATGTCAATCCTTTCAAGTTACAAATACAAATTTGATCTCTCATTTCAAAGAAATCATTTCAAAACTCATTCGAGATCAAGCTATTCAAACCCGAGATCAAGCCTCTCTTCTCCATGTTTCTCCATTCGAAGACTTGAAGAAATTCATCAACTTGTCTAGTTCAACAAGCAGCTTTCACAACCGTTTGGATTGCAACCGTTTCAAAAATCGAATTAGATGATCTATTCTTTTGTAATACAGCAAATTTATAGAGGATTGTACCCATTTATTATAATCAATAAAATTAATTATTTATGCATTTATTCCGTGAAATTTGTGTTTACAATTATAACATTGTCAGCGTCCTAAGTCATCGTCCAAGTCTTCGAGGATAAGATACAACGATTATAGGAAACTTCTTGGACATGCACTCTAACAAAGTAAAGCTACGCACATTTGGTGTTACACTTACAATACTAAGGGTGGAAAGTTCAATCCCTTACTACAAATGAACAATCGATAAAATCGACATGAATGAGAGAACAATTATGGAGACAAGGCTCTACAAAGCATCCCTAAATGGAAGTTTACCTGAATTTGAGAGATTGGAGGAAGAAGATCCACTCATTCTTGACAGAGTCTCTCTCATGACCATGAACTTTCATCACCAAACTCCCTTGCACATTGCAGTATTACGAGGTCACTCCGATTTCACGACAGCCATTCTGAGTCGAAAACCCGGACTCGCTGCCGAGCTCGATTTAACTCGGTGCTCGCCTCTCCACTTGGCTTCAGCAACGGGCCACGTTGAGATCGTTCGTGCGCTGTTGAATGCGAACGACGCCGTTTGCAAAGCTCGAGACGAAGATGGTAGGACTCCTCTCTACTTGGCAGTCATGAACGGGAGAGTAGAGGTCGTGAAACTGTTGATTCAGGCTCGGCCCGAGTCAATTCGTGAGAAACTCGGCAGAAGAGGAGGAGGAGGAGGAGGAGGAGACACTGTTCTGCACTTGTGTGTGAAGTACAACCGTTTGGAGGTTTTGAAGACTTTGGTTGATGAATTGCTGAACCCAAACGACGTCGCTTTTTTGAACTCTGCAGACGAAGATGGTAACACCCTCTTGCATCTTGCTGCAGCTCTCAAACAACTATACGTAAGTGTATTGATAGTTTGTCCTTTATTTTACACTTCCAATTGACTTGAGTTTATCCGTAATTAACCACCGGAGGGGTTCCGCACCTGCTTTTCACATAGGATAGGAGAGCAGGACTCAATTTTGGAGATGTCAAATATCTTTCGATAATTATACTATACTCCAATTGTAACCCAACCTCCTGTTGTGGTGAATGGGTGAAATTCATTGCGTATCTTGATGGCGGGCCTCTTTTTATAAATTGAATTAAATCAACTAGTCACTTTAGAACTAAGGCCCACTAATGCTATGATACCCCACGTAATTTCTTTTTTCTCTATCAAAATAATATGTCTATCCCTAATTAATTGATTTTGTCAAGAATTAGTTCAATTAATAATTTATTTATCCTTTTTTTATGACTAATGGTTTTCTACACAACATATGACCATTGTGTAGGAAGAAAATGGACATTTCACCTCCACCTCCATGCATCTCCCAAAATCACTTACTCTTTAATTTTGTCTATATGTGCATATTAAAAAATTGATAAGTGTTGTAAAATTATTAATTTTAACTTCCAATTTAGACGGAATAATTAAATTAGAACCTTAGAAAATTGAAAAGTGTTTTAAAATTATTAATTTTAACATCCAATTTAGACTAAAGGATAAAATTAAAAATAAATTTGAAGTGCGGAGATCAAATTGTTTAAATTAAAAATATAAAGATTATAGTAAAATTTGGGACAAACTATAAAGCTAAAAAATATAATTAAAACCATAGCAGGGTTTAAGCTGACAAAGAGGCCCAATATTCTGAATGGACTGAACTTATTAGACCGACACAAAATCCTTTATTAGGTAATTCCCAGTCGGGCCGGTCAATGGCCACTCCTATTGCTACGTCCCAATCTAGTACTTTCCTCCTTCATTCCCTTTATCTCATGCCTCTCGTCTTCCACGCTCCCGTCGCATCCATTTCCCTCTTCTAGCCTTCTCTCCTGAAACCCTCTAGTGATTGCCTTCTTCCTTCCAATTTCCACCGCTTGCCTCATCCCTCCACATGTTTTTCTCTCTCTCTATCCTTCTCTGAGATGTGATTGTGTTTTGAATGACACCTCACTAGCAGAGAGGTTTCCGGCACACACCCGCCGGCTAGCTCACGTTTGTGTTTTCAGGTGACAAAGCGACGTCGTACGGAGAAGCGTGGACTTGGTCAATAGGATTATACGAGGAGAATTATTTCCTCCCCGTACAGTGTTCATGTGTGTAGTTTTTATTAAAAACACTAACGAGTGATATCAATTAGATTAAATTCAGATAAAATCATAAATTTACAATAACCAAAATGAGCCAAAAGTGTATAATTCTACCAGTGTAATTTGCCTTTTATGATCATTCCTTAACATCACATGCTTAGCTTTTTTTCTTAGTAATGTTATACAAATAGAAAAAAAATACAAAAAAAAATTAATATAAAATGATGTTTCAAATTTTGATTTTATCATTTTCAAACTAAAAATTCATGAAGGTGGTTTAAATCTTTTTAGAACATATTTGACATAATAAAATGACGTAAAAGTATAGTAATGAAGTTCACAGTAAAATCAAAGAGGACAGTTTTTGAGGCCAAGGATTCTCTCTTTCCAAATCTCCATCTTTCTTTGTCCCAAGTCATCAACAACCATGGGATCATAGGAAAATTTCAATGTGTTGGAATCTCAAGACCTACCTAATTATTGTAGATGATTAAGGATGAGGAGATTTGGAAATAGAAGATCTCACGCGCGCCTTCTAATTAGGTTGTCACACAAACCAATCAAGAATACATATACATGTTAGATAACTGTAACTCATGCAATCCAAGATTTGATTAAGTTTTAATTGTTTTAATCTTTGTTCTTTCTTTTGGAACTCCCATCAAATGATGTTTTACGCGTGCAGACCATAGAATACTTGTTACAAGTAGAAAGTGTCAAAGAACATCCCAATACCAAGAACAAGAATAATTCTACAGCTTTGGATGTTGTCGAGCAGTGTCCTAACAGAGACTTAAAACACATGGAAATCCGGGAGCTTCTTCTGCAAGCTGGTGTTCGAAGAGCTAGGGATCTTGAAACTCCCCTACCAACATTGCCTGATAATAATAATAATAATAATCCTCAAACTCCATTGGATTTATGCAAATCAATTTCAAGGTATTGGAACAAGTATTTTGACGTTGATCAAGGGTGGTTTAGAGAAGTACGCGGACATTTAATAACAGCATCCACTTTGACAACAACTATGGCTTATCAATCTGGACTAAGTCCACCTGGGAGTGTTTGGCAAGATGGACCTCAAGGAAATGGTAATCAAACTATGAACGACTCTTCCCATAAGCCCGGGACATCAATTTTAGCCGATAATGATGGCAATTATCCTACTTTCTTGTTTGTCAATACTTTCTCCTTACTAGCATCTATGAGCACTCTCCTTCTGGCTTTAAGCGGATTTCCTTCAACGAACAAGGTTTTACTATGGCTGCTGATATTCACAATGCTTTGCACAATCACAAGCATGACTCTTTCTTATTTGTTGATACTAGGAATGACAAGTCCATCAAAGACTTGGGGTTATGTCAGTTTCAATTCATCGCTTTTTTATTGGTTTGCCATATGTACATTTGTTTTTGCGCTTCATGTAAGCCGCTTGTTCACATGGCTAGGGCTGAAGTACAAGGAATTAGTTCAAAAAAGCCGCTTGTTCACATGGCTCGGGCTGAAGTACAAGGAATTAGTTCAAAATAGACGGTCAACGAGACAACCTAATGAGAATTGGCTATGGAGGAAGTACCAAGAGTTGGTTCAAAACAAATGGCCAACAAGACAACCTAATGAGAATAATGTCAACCTTATGACTCAACCGGATACGACTATTACTGGTACTTTATCAATCTCCATTTGAGATTTTTCTTTTCTTGTAAATGTATTATTGTTCTATTGTTATTTTTTATATATAGGTACTTCCTATTTAATCATGTTGTGATAGCCAAATATAGTTTGGTCAATCGTATGAAGTTTTTCTTTTCTTATGAATGAATATTATTATTTTATTATTATTTTTTACACAGTAAATTACAGTTACCTCGGTTGAGGATTCTGACAATTATAGGATCTTCTCCTATAGTTTCAATAATTACAAAAAAATTTCTTACTTTTTCTGACATTGTTAAGATTCCCCTCCCGTTAATTTAACCCAAACAGTGTTAATTTGGTTGTACAAATGACCATAATACCCTTTAGCCATATTTGATTCACAAGACTAATAATGAACGTATTAATAGTTCCATCAATTTAGTGTGGTCCAATTGAATTAGTAGAATAAATTATTCTCTTGTCCATTGTTAGATTTGTATTGGATAAGAAAACTTCCGAAGATAAAAGAGTTTTTTTATTTTATTTCTCAACTCAATATATATAATCTCACTCTTACCCCATTACTAATAATCCTACAAATTTGTTGGATTAATTATCTATTAGATTAATAATCCTAAAACAAAATTTCAAAACAAACACAGGATTATTGGGCCCACGGATTGATAATCTCAATCTCATACTCTAATGATCAAACTAGACAGTAATGTTGGGCTTATGGAGATTCACCACGAGTCCCGTTTCGATAATCTGAACCGTACAATGTGTAGATTTCGTCGAGTACTATATGTCTGTTAAAATTCACATTGATCGAATATTGATAATTACGTGATCAAATCAGTTTTGTATAATAAAAAAATTGGATGGTAAAAAAAAAATAAACGGTTGACAGAAATCTGATCCGATGAAATAGCTGTCGATATCCGATCAACATAATTTTTTACAGACATATAGTACTCGATGAGTTCTTTACATTAAAAGGTTCACATTATCGAAACGAGATCCACAATGGATCTTCATAAACTCAACAATATCTTTCAATTGATGATCCGATCGGAGGGAAGCCCAATCTAAGATTTATTACAATGTACAAGAAGTGGACTTGAGACCGGTTCTTCAGCCCAATTGCTATGAAAGACCAGTGTATTACCCATTATTATGGAGGAAGCCCAGAGTGATTCCCAAACTCCCCAAATATGTTATCCAGTGTACTACAGAAGACAATAAGCAACGTACACCTGTCAAAACCTAACCTATGTTCGTTCTCCACTCCCATCATCGGGGTCCACCATCATCGTACGGACATCCAATAATATAGGATAAATTACACATTTTTGTTTTATGTTTGACTTTTTTTTTCTGTCATTTTAACCTTTACTTGTTTAAATTTTTTAAATTAATTCATAGGAAAATATTTTGTGGCCCGAATCTGCTTGCCCCAAATGTCCAAAATGACATCGTTTTAGGCATTTCGTTTTTTTTTTCTTTTTTTTTTCTTTTTTTCTGTCATTTTCGACCTCTACAATGCAGAGGAAGAGGGAGAGGGAGAGGGAGAGAAAGAGAGAAAGAGGTCGTGTCGCCTCCGCTGATCGCTTCTACCTCGCCTCAACCCCTCCTCCTCCATTTTTTAGGCCCCCTCCAGTCCTTCCTCCCCTCCTCCCCTCCCTTCCCTTCTTCGTCTTCCTCCTTTCTTCTGCTGAAAAGAAAAAAAAAATTAGGGACATTCGGGGCGTCCCGTTTTCGGGCCCCCAATCACTACCGTAATTCATATTCAAAATTAAAAATTAATAATCACATGTCATAAAAATATTTTATAATATATAACTCACATATATAACATAAATCTAAATATTAATATAATATTATATTTTTATAATAATTAATGTGATATTTTTTATTTAATTTTAGATAAAAACTAAAAAAATTAAAACATAAAAATTCAAAAGAAATAATAATCAAACAAATTTTAAAATAATCAAACATAAAAGAAGTAAAATATAATTTATCTATATATCTTACTCCCTCCCTCATAATTTATTGGTCCCTTTTAAAAAATTTTATTTTTTAAGGGACAAATAATTATTATATTTAAATGTGATATTTTATTTTATTAATTATTTAATTTATTTTATATTTGAATAAATTATTTTAACCTACTCCATCACAACATTTGCTACTACTTGGCACCACATAGGACAAAAACCCATGTGCTCATGTCCAGCTTCGAAGAGTCCGGATCCTCTCCTTGAGGAAGGTCCTTGAGTTCATGCGGGCAACGGCTCAGATCTGTGGAAACAGATCCAACGGCTCTAATAAAAAAAAAAATTGAAGACCAACCTGGTTCGTGATCTATGCTGAACTGATGGTGGTCGTCGCGGTGGAGTTCACGCAGCGTAGAGGCTGAAGCGGTGGAGCTGTGGTCGTCGTGGGGTCGCCGTTGGGACTGGTCGCCGGTTCGCCGGTGAGGGTAGGTTCGGTGGACGACCACGATCGACTGTAAGGCTCATTGAAACTGAGAGAGTGAGAGAGTGAGACAGTAAGGCTGTGTTGTTGTTTTGTTTGGGCGGGAACTCAAAAAAATTTAATTTTTTTTTTTTTTTTTAATAATCTCAGCCGTTGGATGACCAACGGCTGATCTGAGCCGTTGCCCGCATGAACTCAAGGACCCTCCTCAATGAGAGGATCCGGACTCAGCTTGGAAACCCTTTCGTCATATTCATGATATTCATATTGGCTCAATAGAGAGCCTAAATTACCTATTAAATATTTTATTAAACTTTTTATATGAGTGTGGGATTTAAATTTACGTAGATTTGTGTGAATTCTATACTTATGTAAAAGATTTGATAAAATATTTAATGGATTATTTAGGATTCAAAAAATGATTTAGACCACTAATTAGTGGTATCACTAATGATGTGACAGTGGGTTCCATTCACTGCTACAGTGCTCTTGTGCTTTTTTTTCGGAAGTGATTAAGACCCCCACAGAGGTCACCTCCACAACCCCACTGGCTCCCATTTGAGATGGTTTTTTTTTTTTTTTTTCCTTCTCCTCCAATCACTAACCCTTACGTATGTGTGAGAGTGGGGAGAAGGGGTCCGGATTATTTTTTATTTTTTTTAAGTGTGTATCAACTTACTAGTAATCCTTTAGAATACTACTTTTAGTAATATGTGTCATTGCCTTTTAGGGTTCATAGCATTTTCCCAGTCCACCTAATATCAGGTAATCACGTCTACACCCTATACCAGCTCCAAGATAAGTTTGACACGCATCGCATTGCTTAGACAAACCCGCTGCCTTGACAGAAAACCCTAATAAGCTTTCATTAACCAAAAACCGACACGTGCCCACTTCTCCATCAACTTCCTCTCAGAGAGAAGAAGTTATTGGTTGGTCATCTCTATTGTGATTAGTGAATAGGTAACCTCCATAATTTTATATTTAGCCTGTGTTTGGCAAGTGGATTTGCAGGTTTTTTTAGCTATTTTAGTCACAAAAAATAAAATAGGCTATTTTAGTCATAACAAACAAAACATCACATCCAACCCATAATCATTACATTCTTCTCTCACAAAAAAACTCAAAAAAGCTAAAAAGCCAAAAAGCCCTTTCCAAACCAAGTTTTTAAGCCCAGGCTAAAATAGCCAAAAAAGCCAAAAAGTCAAAAAGTTAACCCACTTCCCAAACGGAGGCTTAGTGATTAGAGAATATTAAAAAATATAATAATTTATGATTAATTTAAAATATGATTACGTGTATTTCAAAATTAATCAATAATTTTTGCTGGGAGGAGATTAAATTCTATTCGATTGGAATAACTATCTAGTGTTTCAAATATTTTACAATAATGGTTTACTACAACGATAATAAGAGTACATGTATTTAAATAACTCAATAACAAAAGCGAAAATTACACTTCAGTTCAGTTGATGTTTAAAAAATTATTTTTTAAATTAGTGATAAATATTATAAATATTAAAAAGTAATATTATAATTTTTTATGTTTTTATAATTAATTTTTTCACATGGCTCTGACAAGTTGTTTCCAAAAAATAAATAAATAAATAATTTTAAAAAACACAAAATATTATTGATTGAAGATACAATTATTAGGGAGTTTGATCAAAACCCCTTCATAATAAAATTTTAGGGTCGTGCTAGGGAGCTCGAATCTGAGCTCCCTCGAATGCCTCGAATTTCTTTTTTCTTTTTTTTTTTCAGCGGAAGGAAGAAGAAGACGCACAGTAACATGATACTATCAAATAGAATAACATGTTACCGTTACTGTTTACATCAATTTCAACGGTAATAAATTTTTTTTATAAAGAATTTCATAATCAACATGGTCTTATTTGATAGATCTTGATGAGAGAATTTTAAAAATATTAATTTTATTAAAAATCGACATTTACATCAAAAGTAATATTATTTTAAATTTTAATATTTTGATAATAGTGATATTTGTTGGACTTTTCAGAAAAACTTTTTGTGACTGTTCTTAATGCATTAAAATTTTGAATAATGCTTGAGAGCTCGAAAATGAGCCCCCCTAATCCCCCCTAATGCCCAAAACGACGTCGTTTTGGGCATTAGGGGGATTAGGGGGGCTCATTTTCGAGCTCTCAAGCATTATTCAAAATTTTAATGCATTAAGAACAGTCACAAAAAGTTTTTCTGAAAAGTCCAACAAATATCACTATTATCAAAATATTAAAATTTAAAATAATATTACTTTTGATGTAAATGTCGATTTTTAATAAAATTAATATTTTTAAAATTCTCTCATCAAGATCTATCAAATAAGACCATGTTGATTATGAAATTCTTTATAAAAAAAATTTATTACCGTTGAAATTGATGTAAACAGTAACGGTAACATGTTATTCTATTTGATAGTATCATGTTACTGTGCTTTACAGTAACATGTTACTCTGTTTGACAGAAACATACTACTCTAGTTCACAACTGACAACATTGTCAAAGGAAGAAGAGAAGAAAAAAATATATATTTTATTTTATCCTTACTCAATTATGTTTTTTCTCCTTCGGGAGTTTATGAAAAAAAATAAATTAGGCTATTTTTTTTACCAAACAATGGTCTAATGGAGGGATTTTGACTTCTCCAATTATTTAGGTGTCGTTTATTAATA